AAACTCATCAGCAGCATCGAAGATACAAACACACATATACACATCTAGTAGATACAGATAACTACACACACACACAGACACAGACACATGTCATGACTCAGCTGTGTGTGTTTGTGTACACTCAGAAAACAAATGGATCAACATTTTTCTTTCTTTTATTCGCCCTAAAGCGCAAAGTTTGGCTTAAGTCGAGCTCAGATTTCGACTATTAAGAGAATGTTTTCTTCTTTGTTCCACATAATTTGAAATGCCATGGGATTTATAATCATTTACCAGTAGTTTCATAAAATCATTTGAAAGTCAAATGAATCGCAAAAATATAATTTTATGCTTATTTAAAGGAAAGAAAAATGAGACTGTTAGGATAATTCAAATTAGTCCAATTCCACAGAATTTATGTATCTAACATTTTAGATATAGTTGTTTATATATTTAAAATTTGTTTTCTGATATTTTATTTGTTGCAGTGTAGTACTTAGAACACAGCAAACGGACAAAACGGACGGCAGATTCATCTTCAGATTCAGCCTCATCAAAGCATCGCCAGCAATTTTCAGTTAACAGCTCCTCAGCTCAGCTCAGCTTCACTGCTGCTGCTGCTGTTGCACACTGGACTGCGCTGTAAGCGTTGGAAGCTGTATGTATCTATGTATCTGCTAGAGCAGGCATCATTGCCGCAGCGAATCGGGCAAAACGAGAAATTGAGAAGACAGTTACAACGTCATAATGAAGCTAAAGCGATGCCTGGCAAACTTTACTAAATCGACAGCAAACCGCAGAAAACACACACATACACAACACACACACAAACACACACACATACAAGCACAAATAATCGTGATGTTGTTGTATATACAGAACAGCAGGCAGCTTTTGCAATGTTAATGTTAGCGAGAATAAAGAGAGTGAGCGCCAAGAGTTCAGTTATTTTCTCGCATGCGAGAGAGAGAGCAAGAGCGAGACAGAGAGAGAAGGAGCGAGAGAGCGCGTTGCGCTATTGATAGCGCGTCAACAGTAGCGCGTGTAGCGCACGCATTGCGCGTTGTAATTGCATTGGCAGAGCGTTTTGCAACACTGTCAGTCGGACAGATGTAACCATTAAATAAAAAGTGATCTCGTTTTATGATAATAAAATACATACACATTTATATACATATATATTTATATCTATATATATATATATATATATATATACACATATAAGTAAATGGCATTTTCTTCATCTTGATGCAGTTGCTGACACAGCATCAACTAATACACAAACACATTGTGTGTGTTTGTATGTTTTTCAAGCAAAATTTATTGATATTCATTGTTTGTTTGTTGTCGATCGTCGTCATCGTTGTCGTCGTCGTTGTTGTCGTCGTTGTTGTTCTTGTTGTTGTCAACTTTGTCGTTGCTCGCTGGCAACTGAAATCACAATTGTTGGCTTTTAAGCAAAGAATGAAGAAAAGCAAAAATAAAGAAAAAAAAATTGCTGATGCTGCCTTCACTTCTTCTAGTCACACACACACACACAGACGTTGTTTCCTGCGGACACCTATTTGACAGTGCTGACAAAGTATCGAAACAATAAAAAAGCTAAAGCGACAAAAATAAACAAAATTGGAGATATACAAAATGGTTTTATTTTTTTTTATTTTGGAATCAAAGAAATGAAGAAAATAGATTTCTATGACTAAGATATAAATAATATTATTATTCAAAGTTAGATGCCAAAAGTTTGTGTTTTAATTTTTGAAAATGTAACAGTTTTTTTGTTGGTAAAGTTTTCGTAAATTGTTTGTATTTCAAGCTATTAAATAGCTAAAAGGTCAACACTGCTGTGCACACACATACAAACACATTATCAAGTACATGCATATATATGTAAGTGTATGTGTGCTTGTGTGTTTGTATGTATGTAACTGAGGTTTACTTGCAACTGGCTTTTGGTCTATAATTCTTGTTTCTGGCTTTCGTGTGGCTGAAAGATAAGGAGCCAGGAGCAGAATTGCAAGCAGCGGCCAATAACAACAGCAACAAAGTTGACGACGAGGCCAGCAGCAGCAGCAGCATCTTCTAGCAACAACAGGAAACTGGGAAACTGCCGGGCGCTGTTCGGCTCCCAAAGGAAGCGGGACCAGTAATATTTACATTTATTGCAAAATTATGCATATGTTTTTTTTAGCCATTTTTTCCCCCTCTGCATGCGCCCATAGATGTGTACATTTTATGGTTAAATATACGTTTTGCAGGCCATCATTTTTTTCACAATAGGCTGCATAGAATTTGCACACATACATTAATATATTGTCTACATAAATGCAGCAATTGCAATAACGTATTTGCTTCTTCTTCTTCGACGATGTCAAATTGTGCATGCATTTTACAGCACTGGCGATGGCTTCTTGCTTTGTTTTCACAATAAGATAATTATTTTTCGTATGTGGAGTAAAATGTATTTCTTATTATGAATGGAGCGTCTCGCATAAATATCAGAATGCTACATTATAAATATGCTCAAAGATGGTAATTACAATAGTTCAAGTTTCTCGTTTCGTTACAGATATTCAAATTTGAAATTTAATGCATTTATAATTTGTTTGAAAATTTATTAGAACGTGAACTCATTTCGTTTTTGGGGGCCTAAGCTCTTGTAAGCTGTATTTCCGTGGCTAAGAAGTGAAAAGCAACTGGTGTGTCCCAAAAGATTTTCATGGAAAGTTGATGTGGTCGCTGCTAAGACAATTTACCGTGTTGCCTGCTTTCTTGTTTTATGAACATTTTACGCTAGTCGCAAGAATTATTAATTGCGCAGCAACAGCAACAACAACAACAACAATAACAATAGAAGCAGCAGCAGCAACAAGCAACCACCGCAGAAAACAACAACAGATGCAAAGTGGGAATTATGCATCGCTGCGCAGAAGCAGAACGAAATAGATAGACACACACACACACACACACATATATATATATATATAGGCAGTTTTCCAGTGTTCCCAGTGTGTGTGTAAGCGCGTGTAAAAATATGGTAAACATGATAATACGTAATAAACAAAAAAAAAAACAACAAAAAAAAAGTGTAACACAAAAAAGGGAAATATAAAAAAGTCAGGTACAAATTTTCACCAAAAACCGTTTGCGCCGCTTGGCCGCAGTTGTTGTAACTGTTGTTGTTGTAATTGCTGTTTTTATTGTTATTGTTGTTGTTGTTGTTGCTAAAGCTGACTGGCTGACTTCTGACGATTTCGTGGGCACACAGTGTGAAGAATGGGCTACACTAAAAGAAATAACAGGAACAATATCAAATTTCAACTAATTAGGCTAAATTAGAATGTTTGCATTACAACTTCAATTTTTTGGTGAACTCTTTAAAATTATTTTATTATATTTTCTTTTTGTATTTTGAGCAAATTAAAATGCATAAGGCCAAATTCCAAATAGGGTTTTGTTATATTTTAAGAATGTAGAAAGTAAATGAAAAAAAAGAAGACATAAAATAATAAGTGTAATATCGAGGATTAAATATAACTTATCTTAAAAACTAAATTGATGCCTTAAAGGTTAAAAAAATGGATATTTTGGGATTATCAATTAAATGAAAAACAAGCGAAAAATTAAAAAATTTCTTATTTTGTTTTCACTTTTGCTTTTCAGAAACATTTGTCTCAAATGCAAAATGTGTATCTAAAGCGGGAAAATTAAATTATATTTTAGGGATTGTGTATTAAATGCAACACAAATAAGAAATTAAGTTTATTCATTTGGATTTTTTTGTAAAACAAACACATTTTTTTCATATTCAACTTTCCATGGTGTCTTTTTTCTTGAGTGTAGGATAATGATTGTATGTAAGCTGCAGTTGTTGTTGTTGTTATTGTTGCTGGTGGGCTGTGTTACAGATTTACAGATTATGGAGCCACGATAACAAATGAAAGGGCCTGCATTTGTTGTTGGTTTTTGTGTGGCACGAAGATGGATGGGAAGTGAATGAAGAGGTGGAGGCAAACAGAACCGAACGCTATAGTTGCTGCCACAAATGAACTAGTCTTAATACTCTTTTTGGCCTGCAACAGCAACTCCGTTTGACATATGATATATGCATGTATGTATCTGTGTGTGTATCTGTGTGTGTGTGTGTGGATGTCTTTTTGTATGAATGGATGCGTTATGAAGTAAGATCTTAGATATGAATTTTTGTGTGTAAGCTTCGCTGTGCTTGTGAATACCAGAAAAGTCTGCTTTTGGCTATTAAAACACAATTACGGTACACAAATCAAGTAAGGGTGCTCCAAGCACAGACTGCCAAATACCCTGCACACACAGCTACAACTTAAAAAAAACTATTGGTAGATAACAGTATTTTTAAAGATTGTTGTATTAGGAATTTCATTAATTTGGATTCAATATTTTGGATAGAGCTGCTTACCTGGCTATTCCCAACCAAAATCCAATCCAAATTCAGTTAGCAGAAAATTAACATTGGAGAAAGTTTAGAACCATTTGTCAATGCAATTTTTTACAATAGCTTTTTCACTTGAATTTCGATCAAAAATCATAGTGAATCACAAGCCAAAAGAAAACGTTCAAAAACGTTTTAACGAAAAGCCATTGTTTTGAAAATCGGTTCAGTTTTTGTCTAAAGTGATGACTGTTTTATGAAAGTTTTAACCCATCTTCACACTTTTACACAAATTTCACTCATAAAGTTTTGGCTGTGGAAAGTTTTGCGCCTAAATGCGAACTTTTAGTTGAATTTCAATCAAAATCGAGTGCTCAAATTAAAACACTCCGTTTAAATCTAGAAGACAAACTATAAACTAAAACAAGAAGCCAATGTTTTCAGCTCAGATTTGGAAAATTTAGAACTATCTCAATTTATTTGAATTGTCTCAATGCATCCTTCAAGTGTATATTATTTGTATACTCCAACACTGTCGATTGTCTTGGCGATCTGGCAGCTTTATCTAATCGCATTACACAGCACTGCTGTGAAACTGTCAGCGTGAAAAGTTCGCAGGCAATAAAAGATGGCTAGCAAATTGTTGAATTTCGGCTCCAAGCTGTTCAAAAAGACAACGCAATTAATTATAAATGGAGCCCACAATAATAGACGCAGTGCATCGACAAGTGCTCGAAATTGGATTGAGAAACACCCAAAACTGTTGGCATTTGGCACGTTGACTGGTGCCGCAGGACTTTTGATGTTCGCCTTGGATGTGAGTGTGGAGGCATCCAGTGATCTAGTGCATCCGCCCGCACAGAACTGGGGCCACAAGGGACTGCTGTCGGCCATCGACAAGGAGGGTGTGCGTCGTGGCTATCAGGTGTACAAGGAGGTTTGCTCCTCGTGCCACTCGTTGCAGTACATCGCCTATCGCAATTTGGCCGGCGTTTGCCTGACGGAGGAGGAGGCCAAGGCGGAGGCGGAGGGCATCACGGTGCAGGATGGTCCCGACGAGGAGGGCAACTACTACGATCGACCCGGTAGACTGTCCGATTATTTGCCGCGTCCTTATGCGAACGAGGAGCTCGGACGATCGGCAAATAATGGCGCCTATCCGCCAGATCTGAGCTATATTGTATCGGCCCGCAAGGGCGGCGAGGATTATGTGTTTGCCCTGCTGACGGGCTATTGTGAGCCACCTGCGGGCTTTGCTCTGCGTGAGGGTCTTTACTTTAATCCATATTTCTCGGGTGGCGCCATTGCAATGGGCAAGCTGATTGACAATGAGGTCGTCTCCTATGCGGACGAGGAGGTGGCTCCGTCGGCCAGCCAACTGGCCAAGGATGTGGTCACATTTCTTGTTTGGGCCTCCGAGCCAGAGGGCGATCTGCGCAAGATCCTGTTAATTAAGGTCACTTTAATATCGACATTTTTAATCGGTATCACGTATTATATCAAGCGTCTGAAATGGTCGGCTCTAAAGTCGCGCAAGATTTTCTATTTGCCAGAGTTGCAGGAGAAGGCAAGTAAGGCGGCAAGTAAGGCGGCAAGTGAAGCGGCAAGTAGCAAGAATGATAATTGTAAAAAATAATTATACTCCATGCTATATTTATACAATAAAAATATAAAGCAAATCTTTTTTAAATGTCAATTTGAAAAGCTGGTGCGCTTTAGCCACCTAGCGTGAATATTTGGATTTATTGCTTGCGGCGAATTGGCGTAAACATAAGAAAGGCGGATAGTGGCAAGAATGATAGCTGTAAAAAATAATTGAACTCCATGCGATATGTTTAATAATATTATAATAATATACTTACAATGAAAACTTAAAGCGAAATTCGTTATAAAATTTGAATTTGAAAAGTTGGCGCGCCTTAGCCATCTAGCGTGAATAATCGGTATCATTGCTTGCGGCGAATTCCCATAACGTACACGGTTGATTTTCTTAAATCATATATAACTATCGATAGTAATTGTAAGGCGGTGAGCACGGCTACGAATTAAATCAGACCTATTTTCATATTCCGAAATTACAGTAGTTAGTCAAGGCATATATTATTGGGTGGGTGGCGTTTTTGAAATATTAACATTATCTTGTAACGATGACAATCGATATTTATTAACGATGCCGTTCAGTTTCGCCGTAACAACAGCTGATTGGGCCGCAGCGGAAAGCAACCGTTTGAATGGCATCGCTGGATTTTATGAAGAGTCTGCAATTTGCGGCACAAAAACATAGCAAACAGCGTCGCAAGGATCCGGAAGGCACTCCATACGTGAATCATGTGATAAATGTTTGCACCAATCTGGTTGAGGCGGGCATCGAAGACGAAGCGGTGCTGATGGCAGCCCTGCTGCACGACGTCGTCGAGGACACGGACACGACCGTTGGCGATGTGGAGCAGCTATTTGGCACCGATGTGGCCAGTCTGGTGCACGAGGTGACCGACGACAAGTCGCTGGAGAAGGCGGAACGCAAGCGCCTGCAAATCGTAAATGCCGCAAGGAGCACGCGAAGAGCCAATTTAATCAAACTGGCCGATAAACTTGATAATCTGAGAGATTTACAAATCAATACACCACACGGCTGGACAGAGGTAAGTAGCTTCTATTGGACTCCAACTTAATTGCTAAATTCCCTAACCAATCCATAGGAGCGTCGCGAGGAGTACTTTGTCTGGGCCAAACAGGTGGTGGACAATTTACGTGGCACGAATGAGCAACTGGAGCGGGAACTGGATGAAATTTTTAGTCAACGCAATTTGTTATAAATAATAACGCAACCTTTGGGTAACATTGGATTAGTTTTTATTGTTCTCGTAGAAGGCAACCATGAGCTTGGCCAGCTGCTGTGTCTCCTCCAGCGTGATGGCATTGTAGAGAGAGGCGCGTATGCCGCCCACCGACCGGTGTCCCTTCAGCTGAATCATGCCCTCCGTCTCGGCTTTGGCCAGGAACTCCTTCTCCAACTGCTCGCTGCCAGCAGCGCTGCCAATGCGGAATGGCACATTCATGTGGGATCGCACCTGCGACTGCACGGGACAATAGTAGAAGCCATTGGATCTATCGATAATGTCATAGATCAGTTTCGACTTGGTCTTTGAGCGCTCCTCCATGCCAGCAACGCCACCATTCCGCTTGACCCACTTGAAGACCAGACCCATTACGTAGACACTGGAGAACAAATGTGTATATTAATGCGTGTGTTTAGGAGTGGTCGGGAGTGCCTAACTATAACATAATCTTGTGTAAGCTTCGAATTGTCCTCTGGCTATTATAATCCTCTAAATTGATGTAAATTGATATTTGAAGTCTTGAAAGGAATTGTAATCAAATAATTCATTAATAATTCTAATTTTAATCCTAAATCCCTTGATAAGAGAAGAGAACAAAGGCTAATCTTCAAATCTGTATCCTTAAAGATCTCTAAAAAGTAGTATGGCTAAATTGGCCAAGCTCCTCATCCACATCAATAATAGATTAAAATATTGGAAATATTTTCTACTTTCTAAATAAAGCCCTGCTGCAACAACTCACCCAAAAGTGGGCGGCGTATTCAGCAGCGAGCTGTTCTTGTGCATCAGCTCAAAGTTGAGTATGGAAGGCGTTGTCTTCAGATGCTTGCCAATCAGATCGTCGCGAACAATGATCACAGTGACGCCCGCCGGGCCGATGTTCTTCTGGGCACCCGCAAAGATCAGGCCAAACTTCTTGATATCGATGGGTCGCGATAGGAAATTCGAGGACATGTCGCAGGCCAGTGGCACATTTGCATCCACCTGGGGCACAAAATCGAATTCGACACCCTCCACGGTCTCATTGTCGCAATAGTAGACATAGGAGGCATTCGGGTCCAGTTTCCAGGTGCTGCTGCTCTGCCTGGGCACATCTGTGTATTTCTCGGCTTTGGCCAGCACCGCATTCACTTTGCCATATTGAGCGGCTTCCTTGGCTGCCTTTGCTGACCATGAGCCGGTGATAATGTAATCCGCGGAGCCAGTGCGTCCAATCAGATTCATGGCAACCGCTGCAAATTGTCCTGTGCCGCCGCCCTGCATCAGCAGAATCCTATAATTCTCGGGCACATTGAGCAGCTCACGCAAATCGGCAATTGCTGCATCTTGGATTTTTGCATAGTTCGCAGAACGATGCGACATTTCCATCACCGAAATTCCGCTGCCATTGCAGTTGACCAGATTTGTCTGGACTTCCTTGAGCACCTGGAAGAGCAACAAGTACTCGTTTATAACCTAACAATAATTTTACATTCCATTCAATCGCAGACCTCTTCGGGCAATTTCGCTGGGCCGGCGGCAAAGTTGATAACCATTTCGCTGTTGATCACTCGAACCTCCTCAGTCAGCCGTTCAAATGTAACTGAGCGGTTGAAAGCAGCGACTGCGACGCGCTCACTGCTGATATTTGAACTGCGCCAACAACAACAACAGCATCAAGCTCGTATGTGTGTGTGTGTGAGTGTTTGAATATGACAGAGTGTGCGAGAAAACAGACTGGACAACGAACTTTTAAGCCAGAGGCGTGCTTCAGTCGCCGTTGCTTTCCAGCACTGCTTCCGCGACAGAGACAAAATCCAGACAAAACAGAGGCGGCGAATTTGATCATAACAAGTTGATAGCGTTGTTGCCAGCGGTGGTGACGTTGACGGCGACTGCAGCGTGCGAAAACAAAACACGCGATTTACCCTGCCTCACTCCCCGCACCTATCATTCGCGTTGTTGCCATGCACTTTGCAGGAAAGGCGTAAACAAGTGCGATAAACAAGCTTAAAGTATAAATGCAAATACAGCGAAGCTTGACTAACGCAGAACTTTGTCACGTCAAATCTTGTTATTTAAAAAGAGGGAATTTTATTTTATTTTCTAACAAATTCCAAGTTATGTTTCACTTAGAGTGGCATACAGAATGAAGCGAAGTTCTTTTTATTTTTTATAAATTCGAACTTCTAAATTGGGATTTAAAAATCTCTAATTATTAACATCAACGAACGGTAATAATTCCAACTACAGAAAGTTTTAAAATTTTAATTTTCAAACGCAACGAGGAATACATCATAGCCAGAAAAGTCTGTGCCTTACTTTGTTGTTTTCCCAACTCACAGTCATCTGATCTGTTGATCTGTTCCTGACACATACAAAAAATACTTGATTAAGCTTTTACTGACGCAATTCGACTCTTCTCAATAATATGCCAATGCAATAATCGAAATTAATATTCTGTGTTCCGCTTTAGCCAAGCCTATCTGTATAAAGACAAAAATATTGGCTGATTCAAAGCTGAGCCACCCGTGCAAATGGGAATATATTAGTTTGATGTGCTTATAAGTTTTATCTTATTGATTAAATGATATTACTGCAGGCACTACGAACTCTCTCAGATTTGAAGTAGCCCTTTGGCATGTATATACATATATTATTTATTTATTTATGCCATGCAGTGCGCACTGCTCTAATTGCTTTAGAACGTATCAGAGGTGCTCAAATTTTACCAATTTATTTGTATGCCGTCTGGGCAACGGCGAATTTCCAATAAGATGCAGGCGACGTGCCTGGAAATTTAAACGTGTGTGAGTTCGAGAGAAATAGAGACAGAGAGAGAGAGAGAGAGAGAAAGAGAGCGAGTTACCGATACGTGGGTGTGTTATAAGTGCGAGGGAGAGAGAGAGAGAGAGAGAGTGTGTGGATGTGTGTGCGAAGTTGATTGTGTGTGTGTGTGTGTGTGTGTGTGTGTGTGTGTGTGTGTGTGTGTGGGTGAGTGGTCATTCATAAACGTTAAGCTAATAATTTAGCGTTGTTTGGCAAGGGGCTTGGCCCCTATGCTGTCTTTAATGAGATTTTATACTAGTAGCAAAAACAACAGCAACAAAACTTGTCTTTTGAACTAAATTATTTGCTTATGATTTATTGCAAATGCTTTGTATACAATTCTAAGACTGAATTTATGTTTTAAAATAAATGCAGCTCATTCCGGCTGCGTTTGCACCTTGCCCACAATGTCGCTCCAGAAATTGCCGTAATCTTTTAGGACAGTGCCGCTGTAAGGAAAATATATATATATGTATATTTATATACGTTAAGTAATTTGTAATGTGTAACAAAAGTTTTTAATTGAATGTAAACAGTGGCTATAAATAGGCATAACCGGATGAGTTGACAGTTTTAGTCCATATGCTCAACACTGCGCCATAAAAGTACTTTGTCAACTTGTTTTTTTTTCTGTTAACGTTGAGCTTTTTAGGCTTTTGTTGTAATTTATCAAAGCGGGGTAACTTAAGCCTAGGGTAGTATTAACTTGGGCAGCCCCATTCACTACTTATACTCCCATAATTTATAATTCATTTGGCACATTATGCGTACGTGAAGTGAAGTGAAGTGATTAATGATGGGCACTGTCATGTTGCACACGAGGATTCGTGCATTTTGAGGGAGACATCAACAAAAAACATTTTTGCCGACGTCATTGTCAGCGTCTTTTTGTCGCAATACTCTTTTTGCTTTACAAGCGATATTTCTTTGGAGAGTTTTTTTTTTTGCTTCTTTCAAGGTAGTAATTACATAAGACATTTTCTTCGATTATCCGGCATTTTGCTGATAATTATGTGTGCATTATGTAATGTGGGTCAACGTGGCGTATGATTAATGACGATACAGTGACAATGATTAGGCCAAAAAGTTGTTTTTTGCTGCACTCGGCACAAACATGAAGTGCTTTGAAGAACGCTACAAATGTTTAATCACTTTGAAATCACAAGCAAACATTTTTTTTTAATAAGAAATTATTGAAAATTTAATGAAATTAATTTCATAAAGTGATTTTTGGAAGATGACCTCTTGAAAAGAAAGATGACCTCTCCTAAAGTGTAGGCCGGTGTTTTTTCTGAGTGTACTACTTGAGCACCCAAGTCCCAAGTATTATATCCCCATCGTGATTTTTATCCTTTACTTACGTAAAGTAGACATTGCCGCGTTTATTTTGCGGCGCCTTCCATATTAACTTGGCACCCAACTTATCACGATTATCCGAGTGCGTTATGGCCGAGCATTCGGGTATGGTCTTGGTATTATCGCTCTGCACCCATTCGCCAATCCACTCGTTAGAGCTGGCATCACGCGCCTGCAGAAAGAAGCCACGGAACGTCGTCGACTGATGCTGCTGCTGCGGATAAATGACCACAGAGATTTGCTGGCCGGGATGATAGTTCTGTGCGCTGGCGACCACCTCAAATGGATTGGTTTGCGCCGGCTGGGTGCGTGCCTTGCCATGATTGGGCTGATTCGCACGCTGCTTAACACACGTATCGGCGGGTGCACCATCCGGAAAGCCCAACCCATTGCCGAGCAGCTGCAGCAGGAGCAGAACACTTGCCAGCCATCGTTGGCAATTCCAGCATCGATTTGCCATTGCGATTACAGTTAGTCGAGTTGCGCGCGCGAGTTGCGTTAATCAAATGTTAAAACTCTGGCAGTGGCCGGCGGCGTTGGCGCTTTTAAAGCCTCGCGTCCAAAAAAAAGCTCACACTTGGCCTGGCTTGGGCGGCTCAGTGGCTCGCTTGTCGGCTATATGCTCGTGTCTTGATTTTTGGATACCCTGCAAATGTAAGTAAAGTTCAGAACGGGACAACTTCAGCATGCTTACATTTCTCGGTTCGGTTCGGTCTGCCGAGAGAGGGCTTATTCTGCACTCAGAAAAAAAATCGACCTGCATTTTAGGTGTTTGTTGTATATATTATAATTAAACATTATTATTTATAATTCCGAAGTAAAGAAAATGGACGTTTTTAATTTTTAAAATTTTTTTGAAAACTAAAACAAATTTTCTAGTTTGCTGCTAGTTTTTCTGAATGTAACAATCAATATTTTGATTATTTGTGTTTGGTTACGTTTTCAACTTAAATGCCAATAATATAGCTGAGTTTGATTGGTATGTTTTTAAATTAAAATTAAAAATTCCATTTCCAATTGACCATGGTACAGGGTATATGCTCGTCGACCTCAACCTCTCAACCAGAGCACTCTTACTTGTTTGCCTTTTTTTTTTGATTATTTTTTGTTGGTTTTGCTAACCAGTTTTTAATGATCAAAAAGCCAAATAGTTATGCGCAGTTCCATTCCTGCAGTGCTCTCAAACTGGGTCAAACATTAGCGTTTGATGCAGCCGCCTCGTTGCTGCCCCCCCAAAACTCCCTCCCAGCGTAGATGTAGACTCCCAAGCTCACCATCCAGTATGAGCTCCAGACCATTTGCTTCGCATGCGTTTTATTTGGTTTGGTATGTTTAAGGCGCTAAGTGCTCCATTACGAAATTCTATGCTTCTAATCGCAGCCCACTGTTGCTGATGTTGTTGGCCTTGTTTATTTTATGTCGCTTTTCGGTTTTCGGTTTTCGGTTTTCAGTTTTCGATTTTCAGCTTTTCGCATTTTGCTCTGCGCCTTAATGTGTTAATTGACAGGCGCTGGCGACTCTGTTGTTGAATTCTTTGAGCTTTTGATTTCAATTTTGCACCATTTGCACAGCTCTGACTTTAGTTCCCTTTGTTCAGCAATTTAAGGAAATAATTATTAAATAAGAATCATATAAGAGTGACTTGTTGGCAACATTCAAATACAAATTAAATAAATAAGAACATAAATATTCAAGCCAAAAATTGTTGAAGTTTTGACAACAATAATCAGAGTTGGCAAACAGATTGGCAGCTAATTTTACCATACAAAGTTTCCATGTTGTTTATTGTGCAAACTTATAGCTATTAATTATAAATAAATATGCATATGTTAATAAACATTTCTGAAATATTTTGCTGAGTCTGTGTATGGTTTTCTGTGTGTGGGTGTGTTTACTTGGCAAATGAGTTTTGCCGGTGCAAATAAAGTGGCATAGCACCTGGAATATAGTTTGCTTGTCTACTATTAGTCAGCAGCATTAATTAACTTTTTAGTGCAATGGTACTGGATGCAAATGTTTCGGTAAATATTTAACACAAATTGTTTAACTTTGCGGAAATAGTGTTAGTTGCTGTCTGCCACAGAGCCAGTTAACTCAACGGCTAGCCGGGCCCAATCAAATCGCATTCGTGCAGTCGCCCAGTTAGTCATGTATTATAAATGTGGCCACTGCGAATTTCGAGCTGCCCAGCCAAGGCGTTAACAGGAGTAGCCAGGAATATACACTCGCAAAAATATCGATGCATATAGCAACAAGTAGTCTGCAAATAATTAGTTATTGCCTTAGTATGAAAATTCTAGTCAAAAATGATATATGAATAGAAAATGCATAAGTTTCGTATAATTATTATTAAGTATAAAATTAGATGAGTGAAAATGTATAGTTATTATTTCAATAATTTTTGTTATTATTATTATTATTATTATTTGTGCTTATGAAATTTATCTCAAGTCTTGTATTATTTTTCTAGGTGTACGATGTACAGCATAGCAAATGACATTTGTGCCACATCACGCCCAAAGCTTAGCAAACAGTGGCAAACCAGGCAAGCCAGCCAATCCTCACCAGCTGTCGCCCCGTTGTCCTTTCTACCAGGCCAGCCTCGGCAATGCATGCGAAATTGAGTAAGAAGCACAGCACAAGCGGTTCCTTTAACCGATGGTCGATGTAAATAGTACAAACAGTTTTTATATGCCTGCAAGGGGGGCGGGGGGTTGGAGGTGGTGTGGAATAAATCCACTTCATCGACGGTGGCGCGGAAAAGTGTGTCACCTGCAGGCCGCCAAATGCGCATGTCCTGTGAGTAGGAGCCAGCCGCCTGCTGGTGAATAATTCTACACCAATGCGAAATTGGCTTGAGTTGGACTTGAATTTCGTTTCGGCCAGGCCAGAACGCAGTCAGACGTTGTAGCGCGTTGGTCGTGAGGCGTGCCAAACACGGAGAAACCATAGAAATAAGAATTCACATAAAAAACCAGAACAACAACAGCGACTAAAACTAGAACAACGATTGAACAGCAGCCAGGCGAACGAGAAAATTGTGAGCAATTTGTAATTTTTGTATAATTCACGCGCGCGTTTCATTGTGTGAGTGTGTGTGTGTGTGTATGAGTGTGTGTGTGTGTGTGTATGTGTGTGTGTGTGTGTTTGTGCAAGTGTGTCTGCGAGTCAGTGTGTGTGTGCGTGTTTGAGTGAGTGAAGTCAGCCAGTGGAAAAAGCAAAAAAACAACTACCAACTACCAGCCAAAAAACAAATGCCCTCCAAGCAAGCGTGCAAAGTTTTGTCTGTTGATTTTTTGCCCGAAAAAGAAACAAGTAAAGAGGGCCGAAAAGGACCAAATAACAAAATGCCAACACAAACAACCGTAAGAACAATACTCAAGTGAAACATAAATTACAACTCAAGCTCCTGGCTCATAGTATATATATATGTATATATAAGTATACCTTTGAATTAAACATTGAGGCCTAGATTGTTTGACCAGAACGTGACGGGTTGTACATAAGTGATGAACACTCCCTAAAAGCTGAATCAGAATCACAAACTGAGAATGAACATCAAGGCCTCTTGCGAAAGGCAAAAAAGAACTTAAAACGCTTTGCATATGTGATATGCACGAACGGTACAATAATAGCCGTCGACAACGCGAACAGCGAGCAGCAAAACTCAAATAATAATAAAGGGAATTCTCACGTGACGCATAAAGTCGAACCACACACACACACACACACACACATAAAAGAAAATACTATATTATAGCTTAAAGCCACTCGGCATGCACACACACACACACACACACACACGCACACACAGCAACTGATTATGTTGCGCTGCATACTTTTGGGGGCAGCAACAAAAATGACAAACCAACAGCATTTGTTGCTGGAGCTTTTTGCATACATTGAATATAATGAATATAATGAACTTTACACTGTGTGTGTGTGTGTGTATATTTATATTGGTGTGCCGTGTTTTGCTTTTAATAATTTAGCACACTCTGTAGTAAATGGCGCGTTTAAAGCATGAAATGCCAGCCGACCCCAACAAAAAATGCTTTTTAATGCTGTCTGTGTGTGTGTGTGTGCGTGTGTGTTAGTGTAACTGTGTGCAACAGCAACCCCAGGCAAAAAGGCCCACTAACACACTTTACTCCAAAACTCTGTTACTGAGGACTACGTCATCCTAGCCAGCCAGCCAACCAGCCAGCCAGAGAGGCAGCCTGGAGCTGACTTTGGCAACGTCGTCACATTTGCGCAGTCACAATCACATCGCGTGGCATAGGCCTGGCCTCCACACACACACACACATACATATATAAATAAATATATATATATATATGTATATACACTCAGGAACTTGCAAGTGTGTAGCATGTGGAGTTAAGTGGAGTCGCCTCGAGCGTTTGGATCGATTTGGGCATAGACATTGCGGCAGCTGCTGCAGTTGAGTTACAATTGCAATACACGTCATCAATTTTGCAACACAGCAAATCGAATTTATAACCAAAAATATAATATTGACAGTACATACATTTATATATATATATATATATCTGATAGACTTAAATATTCAGTGAAAGGTAGCCGGCGGCGGTGCTGGTTCTGCTTCTGCTATTGCTACTGCTGCTGCTGCTGCTGCTGCTGCTCTTTGATTGCCCTGCCAAGTGTTGCAGTAAATTGCGACATTATCAAAAAAGGCCTGACCCTTGACCTTAGCCAGCGGCAACAGCATGTGACTGTAGATGCCACGAGCTTTTAGGCAAATACTATTTATGCCCTTTCCGGGGGTATTTTAATTTTGTCACGAGATGTGTAAGACACACAATATCATAAAAGCTGACAGAAAAATAATTTGTTTTTGTGCGCTCTTTGGAAACTGACATAAAAATTCAAAATCTGACCTCTGATAATATCTATCGATGGGTAATTGCTTCTTATAAGAAAGTATTTGTTGGTTTTAAGCGTTATCCCAACCAAATGAATTGGATTTGAGTGTTGTTATTCTTCCAAGATTCAATATCTACGTGAATACTATGTCATATAGCACAAGTTAAATGTAGATATATTCAGGGCATTTCCATTCTACAAGAATATCTCAAAGTTTTATACGTTTTGTGGGATTTCGTATTGGAGATAATCAAACGAGAAGTTGTCAATTTCATCTGGCAGCCCTGTTGACATTGTCCCGATACTATTGAGAGCAAGTAATCGAGTCAGTAGCGATATCAGTGAAATATCGATAACTGATCAGCATCAGTGAGTTGAGTTCGGTTGCAGCCAGCGCAAGTTTAACTTCATTATCAATAAGCACAAACATACCAATGTTTTTCGCTAAGCCGTCCAGTATAATACAATAAATAAATTATATAACATAATATCTACACTAATGTATCCTTAAACTTCATAATTCAATTTAAATGCAACTTGAACCAGGGCATCTCCTTTAAACCAGATTTTTCCACCAAACTCATCTGACTTGAATGTTCTTATCCTTCTAGCAGCATAACTGCCTACGAAAATATCGCTTAATTATAAAATTTATAAACAATTAGGCCATCTCCATTATACAAGGGTATTTTGAGTTTGTTGTGTCAGCAACACTCATTTTTGTTTTTCGATTTGCTATCGTCGTCGCCAACTGTAAAACGATTTGCCATCAAATCGCATGTCGCCTCCTTGCGAGTGCATATCCTTGTCGCAGAGTTTGCGTTTATAATTTATATGACTTGTTCGTTGCCATTGTTTTAGCTGCGCTTGGCCTTGTCTAAATGTGTCTCTATGTATATATGTGTGTGTGTGTCTCTCTCTCGGCGTGTGTGCTGCTGTATGTGTGTGTGTGTGTGCACTTGTATCTGAGACCTTTAAGTATGCCCAGTGGCATTTGGCGCCTTTGTTGGCCTTAGGGACGGATTTTAGGCCTTTTTACGACTATTAAAATATGCATTTAAATATATATCCTCTTATCCATGTGTGTGTGTGTGTGTGTGTGTGTGTGTGTGCTTTGGTATTTATCTGCCTATGTGTTGAAAATTGAAACTGTGCGGTTATTTACTGAACGTCTTGGCGTTGATTGCCGTTACGCCCCATTGCCTGGTACATGACTATAATAATGATTGCCATTTTATGACCCAACCAGGATAAATTGATGTGTTGCCTGCCTAACTGCCGTCGGTGGCAAAACTTTGTTTTATTCCTTCGTTCATCAATCCTTTTTGCAAAGCTGCCCCGAATTGCTTTCGTTTTGCTTGGAATTTGGTTGGAGTATTTGCTTAAGCCGAGTAGTAAATATCTGTCATATATCATCTCAAAAGTGCCTTATTTATTTTAATAAAATAGAGTACAACTTGGGATTTATTTGAAAGCCAATTGTGTCAGTTAAGTATGCAAAAGAAAATGAACATTTGTAAACACTTTCACATAAAAATATATTTTTCTGTGGCAGTAGATTTCGCAAACAAACAGTTCAAGTAGACTTTTGTTACAAATTTTCCAATTTCATATAATTGCCAAGTGATTTATTTGCCTGCAACGAAGCAGAGAATTGCAATCTACTTATCCACTCCCACCAAACTTGGAGCAATAAATGAGTAAAGAAACAAAACAATACAGAATACGTCATTGCCCCCCATTCATCCAGCTGCTGTTTATTTAAGAGCTGTAATTAATTTGCCTAAGTTGATTCTGTAAATTGACTCAGTTAGGTGTATGCCACAACACACCACACTCGGTGTGTGGCATGTACTTGAGTGTGTGTGCATGAGTCTGACTCTGACTGGGACTTGAAGTCAATTCAGAACGGCGGTTGGCCCATTTAGCTGATGACACAAAAACCACTTGAACTTTGCACGTAACTGGCATTCGAGTTGTGCTCATTATGGCCAACAGATGTGCATATGTTTGTATAAGTGGGTGTATTTGTGTGTGTGGCTGTGTGTCTCTGTGTGTGTGTATGGGTGTGTGTGTCTACAGACTTGCACGTGTAGAATATTAAAGCAGAAGATGTACAAATATTTAGCACATTTTTCACGTAGACTTGTGGTATGTGGATGCCTACACAGAAAAAAACAAAGACAGAATAAATTTCAATTTTATTCATTATAAATTCTCGCATTCTTAGTAAATTAGTTAAGCTTTGCATGAAATCCTTAAATTTAGTAGAGATTTTAAGCAAGATTTCATCTATGTACATAATATAATAGCTGAATAAAATGGTTCAGGCCTAAAGCAGTTTCCCCATAAAAATTACCAGTCTTGAAATAAGTATTTTGTGCTGGCGATTGGGGAATTTCTATACCGAATTTCTGACACAAAAACTCATCATTTTATTTACATACTTGATACTTTACTGTGCATCTAACAAATTGAACTAATACAATTTTGTATAGGTGTGTTTACTTATGCCTAAGTTCAAGGTGTTTCAGGTGCAATTAAAATGACTAAGTGTTGTGGCTTAATCACACAGTCGCTGGATGACCGTTATCCTGTCCAAGTGCGTACTGTGAAGCCAGCGAGAGCCGTTTAGATTGGTTGGTTGACCAAATACGGACACGGCAAGGGGGAAATCGGTGAAAGCGGATGTTATGGATTAACGGGTAAATGTATTAGCACGTTGGGGCAGCCACGCTGCATTCGAGGCGTATGAAAGCATTTCGCATAGCACACATAAAGACACACACAAACACACACAAAAACACACACAAACACACACACAAACACACACACACTTACACACGCCCAGGCAAATAAGCATGCCGCATTCACAGCCGCATTCACATCCGATGCAACGACAAGCGCCACAAAACTCAGAACAGTGTACTCGTGTCTATCTACAGTGTGTGCACTCAGAGAAAAACTCTGTTAAAAATTCAAGTACAACCCGAAATGGTTCTTCAATAATCCCAAATAAATATTGTTTGAACTTTATTGAATAATTGAACCGCACTCCTGCATAAAGTTTAATTCATTACAAGCATTGATGTAGCTAAAGTCAATATGAATTTCAAAATGAAAACCAATCTACTTCAATCTATAAACAGTTTT